CGCGGCTAATTGTGTATACCATTGAAAGCACAGGAAATAAGGCCTAAGTCTGGAGGTGGTTGATACTAATGATGTCCATTGTGCTAAAAAATCTGTTTCGGGGACACATTTTCTGTAGCTGCATCACGTAATCGGAAGCGACGAGGTGGCTAATTTTGTGTACCATTAGCAGCACAATAAAATGAGCATTAGCTGTGGACATGGGTAATACTAATGATATCCATTGTGCTAAAATTGTTTTGTTAATAGGGAAACATTATCTGTGGCTGCATCACGTAACTGGAAGCAACGACGTGGATAATATCGTGCACCAGTGACAGCACAATAAAATTAGCGCTAGCAGCGGAGGTGGGTAATACTAATGGTGTCCTTGGTGCTGAAAAAATGCGTTTTGCTAATAGGGAAACATCCTCTGTACCTGCGTCACGTAATATTGAGAGCGACGACGTGGATAATAGTGTATATCATTGCCAGCACAATAAATTGAGCGCTGGCTGTGGAGATGATTAATTAATGCTGTCCTAGATGCTAAAATGTTTCGTTAATAGAGAAAGTTGTCTGTAATACAAGGAATCGATAATGTTACTGATGGAATTGACCGTTGGCAGCACTATAAATATATAAGCTAGCTATCAGGGTGGCTACAACTGACCCTCTCCTTGGTGCTGAAAATAGGTTTTCCTCAAAAGAGGAACATCTTCTGTATCTGCATCACACAATAAATAACTAGGAGCGACGATGTAGCTAATTGTGTATACCATTGGCAGCACTATAAAATTGATCGCTACATTTTGAGATTTTTAAAAACTGACCGTCTCCTTGGTGCTGAAAATACAATTTTCTCTAATAGAGCAACATCAGCTATGACTTCATCTGTATCATGTAACTGAAGGCGACTACTTGGCTTATGTTATTTACCGCTATTAAAATAATCACTAGCCTAGAAGACTGTTAAAACTGACCCTCTCCTTGGTGCTGAAAATACGGTTTTCTCTAGATGAAATGGAGAACCCGTAGCTATGATTACATATATCTACATCACGTAACTACTGGATAGTAGTATATACCGTTTACAGTACTCTGAAAATAAGCTAGATATTGAGGCGTCTAAAACTGACCCTCTCCTTGGTACTGAAAATACCATTTTCTCTAATGGAGAAACATCTTATATGTATCTGCATCACATAACTGAGGGTGACTACTAGACTAATGGTATCTACCGTTGGAAGCATTACAAAAATGATCGCTAGCAGCGAAGATGGTTACAACTGGCCCTGTCCTTGGTGCTGAAAGCAGGGCTTTGGTTAATAGGAGATACCTTCCGTATCTGTGTCTGCATCGGTAGCTAGGAGCGACTAACGTGCTTACCACTGACCCTCACCTCTGCACTGAAAGTAGTGCTTATATTACCGTGTTGAAATCCTCCGTATCTGTATCAGATAAGCGACGAAATGCCCCTTTGGCGTAACACCAGGTCTGTACTTAGATTATGATAACGCTAAGTCCAAGCTACGTTACGAACTGAATAGTTTGAACTGTCACACACTCTTCGGTGCCACCGACTCTATTTTTTTCGATAAGATAGGCAGACATAGTTTATCAACTTGTCCTTTAGTGTAGGCGGTATCCGAAGAGCTCCTTTTCAGAACAAGCCATTCATCACATGCAAAAGTAGTGATCTTTTGGAAAATGAAAACTCGAGATAGATGAGCTCTATATGTATTTTAAAATTGCATTACTCCTAAAGCGCTGATATTAGGAAATGTGATATGATAGATTTTGCCTTCTGTGGATTTATATTAAGCTTTAAGCCAAACTTTCTACCTTCTATACCTGTACCAACTTTTGTGATGAACATCATGACGGCGTGCCGTCTATTTTACAGAGTGTTGGCGTATTAACGACTTTATTAAGATAAGGTTAGTGATACAGAACAATGGCGTGACAAACGATCGTTATCGGAATAAAAATAAGAGTTATCAAACCTTTAATGGAAAATCGTCGTCTTTTCACAGCGATAAAAATGTATCATAGCTTCTATCTCTATACAGTGAGATCGTATCATAGGGTTCAATTTGAAGACACGGGATTGTACTATGGATTTTACACTAAAGCCTAGAGATTGTACTATGGATCTGTTTAAGCCCCGGCTATCTGATTTCAAGGACACACGGCTTTAATTAACTGTAAATCATAATTACAGAGGCACATTAGTTTCTGTTAGGATCAAATATGACACTTGCTAAAGCTGATACTAACATAACCAGTGGTAATCAACTGCATCGCCTAGCTGTGTTCTACTCTTCGATGCAGTAAAGTATGCTGTGCACCGAATACCCTGGTTGTGAAATTTCATCTTCTCATTTAATGGAACGTAAAATTTGATCGAACTCTCTTTTTGATTTCCTTAGGCGCAGCAAGGAGTGAGATACGTTGTAAAATATCGTCCTGATGGATGCACTGCGGTTCCAAAATTCTTTCAAATGCCTGAGACTGTATTGTGGTAAATCCATGGGATTTTAGTGGTGTTATATGGGGCTTTTAAAGAGGAATGGTTTTAAGGCATCGTGCTGGCTGGTACGAGTATACAGGTAGATAGTGATAAGTCAAAGGGGGAAGTGTCAAGAAGGAGGAAGACTAGTTGAGACTATCTGATTCTAAAATCGGTTCCAGGCTTCTCAGTACGCCTGATGACACGACGCCATGTGAAAGCTGTGAAAAGGGGTACAAAACCTACCAAAGCTGTTCATTTCCTGTAGATTAGGCCACCAAAACGCAACCTGATGTGGCCACACAAACTACCCAGAGTCTACCAGTCTATGTTCATTTGTTGAAATTTTTAAGGCCATGTTGATTTGATTATATGGATGACATCCGCGCGGGCATGAACTTTCGTCCGTTTCCAAAAAACGTTTTCAATTATATTATGAAGCAGCTAAATGAGCAAATATTTGCCGTAAATTGCAATATTGAAATATTGGAAAACGATACTCATGTCATACGAATGCCAATTCCAAAGGAAAAGAAGAAAATGTGTGTTTAGCCATTGTTCTACCTTCATGACCACATAGGTTTCAACTTTTTTGCCATCCTTTTTTTTTATTCGCACGCTCGCATTAGTTTCGGGGCTCCCAGAGGATGCCATCCATATAATCAAATCAAGATGGCCTAACCAGCCGTCACACATTTTCAGTTACCGGATTCCTGTCGCTCGCTTTTACACAACCATACATCATCACATGTCATATTTCTTTGGTCGGTAATCAATGGTTATCCCTAGCGGTTTGAATTTCCAATCACAAACCGAGCTAACAAAGGGCACGAAAGTAGCCTGTGGCAATTTTCACTGCATAAAATTGATAACTACAAAACTGATATCCCTTGTAGCACCATACGTACATTTTATAAGACGTAAGATTACATTTAGGTATTCTACACCAAGATTACGTTTCAATTTTACTAACTTGGATTCATATCGCTATAGATATTGCATTTCCCGTACATCAATTTTCTGTACTATTGATGTTCTGCGCCATGTAGAAATCATTTCTGGCGGTTATCGAATTTCTCCTTCATAAAGACATGAACTTTTGGGACCTCGAAGGATTCTACATAAAATGAAAAATCTGATGAACGACTGAATTTCTTTACTTTGTCATTGAGCTAGTCCGACGATTTCGCATAAAAGTTATACATGATGGATGAAAATGAACGTTTCAAATGACTTGTTTTATTTTTCGTACTGCGATATGATATCTTAATATCTCTGGTGCTCGTGCTAAAAATCAGAAACCGTGTACGGACTTTGTGTAAGTGGAGGCAGTTATGTAACTGGAGAGATTTGATTTTCTCTGGGTTTACCAAAAGACTGTGTGGGAGTTGTATAGCTAGTATAGCTCACTGAAGAGCGAATCTTCAAATAATTGTGACAAGAAAGACAGACGATATGTCAGTTTAGGTTAGTTTTGCCATTGAAATTCAAGATAGTAGACTCAAAAGAGAGATTTGATTTTCTCTGGGTTTACCAAAAGACTGTGTGGGAGTTAAGTGATCTCTGACCTAGTTAAGCTCACTGAAGAGCTGATCTTCAAATGATTGTGACAAGAAAGACAGACAATATGTCAGTATGTAAAGTTTTTTTGCTGTTGAAATGCAAGATAGTAAACTCAAAGGAAGTTGAGCTTTACCAAAAGACTGTGTATGATGGGCAAATGCAGAAGTAATCTCTGAACCAGTTTAGCTCACTGAAGAGCTAATGTTCAAATAAAAGACAGACGATATGTTAGTATGCACAGGTACGTTGATACTCAAGATAGTAATTTCAACGGAATTGGAGATATAGTTAATCAAAAGACTGTATAGGATGGGCAAATGCAGATTGAAGTATCCCCCGAACTACTTTAGCTCACTGAAGAGCAATTGAGACAGGAAAGGTAGGCGATATGTATGTATAGGTTCATTGCGCAGAACAAATACTCCTAGCTCAGAGAAGCATGGCCCATCCTATTAGGACTGTAATGTAAGTCAGCTGAGAGGCGAACTCTCTTACAATATAGAAACAATTATTATAGAAATTTAAAGAAGATGGCAAATATTGCTAATTGGTGCTTTATTTGTTTGTGTTGTGTTAAAACTAAATCTCTTTAGTTTAACAAAAACATTCCCCTTGGCCTGCATACATTTTCTCCTACCTAGAGACTCTAAGGATCACTCAAAGGGCCTTAAACTGAAGACAAGATGAGTCATTCCCTCTGTAGTATACTATACACATCTTTCCAAAGCAACATATACATACTGATCTACTGTTTTACAGCAAATTAAACCTTACAGCAACACAACATAGTCCTGTTACTGTTAAAAAAAAACTCTCCGGTCAACTTAGCACAAACATTATCCCTGCATCAGTCAGTACACAGATCAGTTTTTTCACCTAAAATTATAGCAACTTGGAAAAACTCCTACCATATTTCACTATAAATGTTTCAACCTCTTTGCTGTTGTTAATAATAATATTGCTATCCTAAATATAAACTCACAATCATCAGTTGTTTCATATTTGATTCCACTGGCTACCTATCACCAGTGTGTAAAAAAACATCTAAAAATGTTGAAATGAAAAGCTATATATTTCTTGGATGACCTGTTTTTGTAATGTACTATATTTGACATCATTAAGGTACAGACGAGCAGATTTGTTAACATGCAAAAAAAATGCTTTGTTACTAAGACAACACTAAACGTGTTGATGAACAGAAAGGTCGCAATTATCTTGTTACCCTGCCGACAAATTTAACATCTTTATATTTTACTTCCATTCAGTTGACTGACGTCAATGAGAGCTACCAAAGTAGCCATGATATACAAGCCCAATTAGGCCACAGCAAGTAAATTTTATGGATGACATCCTCCGCAGACTCCAAATCTAATGTAATAGGGGAAAAAACAAGGCGGGCCAAGAAGCAACATTCTTACATTTTCAAATTTTGAGACCATAAACCTTGTTAAACAAAAACTGCGGCAACTAAACCTGATATAACAACCAACAGGTCCTGTTCAACAGTATTACCTGTCCTTGTAGGTATCTTCACATCTCAATTAATCAGAACATTATTGAAGAAAAGAGACTTTGTCGTACCAACATGGGCAGCTATTACACTGGGTACTCATATGGGAAGGAAAACCTTGCCATCATACTCGAGACGTTAGGCCTCAATTTGCTGGATCCCCTATTGTCCCTGAACCGATTGACATTTATGATATATTTTCCTTTGCGTCGACCTGTTGACCACCATCAGAAGGCAACTGAATTTTTTTTCCAAAATCAGACAAAAGTCAATGCATGCACTGGTGCCATCCATAAAAATTACTTGCTATACATGCTATCGTTAAGGGCTAACTCTCTTTCTGTTGCTATGGCAACAATTAAGGCACTCCTAGAGCCCCCGGTTGTGGTTATAGTTCGTCGTGAGTGTGGTCGTGGTCCTTGACCGCTCCGTGTGGACTGTCCAGGTAGCGAGCGACGGTTTTCAGGACGGCGGCGTCCATGTCTCTGATCTCCTGCAGACTTACAGAACCCTTCTTTGTCTGGTCCAAGAGACCAAAGATCTGGAAGAGCAGAGGAAGAAAAAAATAACTGACTTCTTCTCAGTTAAAGAAAATGATGCAGGAAAACAGCCACCTGAGATAAAATATGATGTAGATTAGCCAATATGTAATATGTTACAAATGTACAAATTATTGATAATGACTACAAATTATTGATAATGACTATAAAAAAATTGCTATTGTAACATTATCTACTACAAAGATTGATGTCTAAATTCTAGGGATAACTTGTTCCAAATATGTAAATAATTGATAATGGCCTTCTTTTTCTCATAGTGGCCTGGCCATAAACAAATTGTTACATTGTCTAGATGGAACAAAATTTGTCTAAATTCTAGAGAAAGCTGAAATCCAACGTATTCCACTGTATATGCACTTGTGAAAGCTAAAAAATGTGTAGTAGGCATTTTCAATGGCAATCCCTTTCAACAAGTATCGGATATAAATATTTTTAGTATTTAAAGAGAACACACTGTCAGATTTTGTAATCTTTCTTGGTTGATGAATAGTATGTAATATTATGTAATAGTATTAGAACTACAGCAAGTGCACAATAGGTAGCTAGTAGTATAGGAGATCCGCAAACCTCTCGAGCGCGGGGAGGATCTGCCTTGTCACCCATGAGGTCTGCATAGAAGTACTCAAAGTGCTCAGGGCGCAGACGATCACGGTCTTTCAACAATGTTAACAACCCTGCCCGGAATATCTCAGGGTCTGTATGTCTCATCTCTAGGACCTGTGTTAGTCAGGGAGTGAAGGTACATGTACAAGACTTAGTGGTGTTAGGTTGCAGAGCAAGTGTAGAGGAGCATTGTAAAACATGGGGACTATAGTGCTGGTATTGCAAGAAACTGTCCAAGATAGAATGGTGATATGACTGAAAGAGGTGAGTTTGATAAGTTGGGGTCATTGCAAGCCCTCTGGCCACTTGCGTCATCAACAACTTTCACAAAGAACTGCATTGATAATATAGTCTCAGTGCAAGCCAGAACTGTGCTGAAAAGAGAACAGAGAAAGCATAACAAGCATTAGTGTTAGTGTTAGTGGTGCAGAGACCCCTCCCAGTTCTTCCTGGTACTGCACCAACCTCTAGGATGTGATCCTGGTCCTCTTCTGTCATTTCTTCCTCCTCATCCGATAAAGCAGCATCAAACATGGAACTAAACATTTCATCGGCATTCAGTCATACTTTCTTCTCTCATTACATGTAGCATCTAAAACCATGATGTCTCAATGTATGTATATATAAGTGGACCCTATATTCATGTACTATGTATATAACCTAGGAGTAAAGCAGCATGTCATCATGATGTACACATGTAAGAAAGAATATATGCTCAAGGTATAATCATGTAAATTTGTGCTCCTTGTACTGCATAAAATTAAAAAAAAAACATAACTCAATGTGGCTATATATGTAATGCAAATGGTATAAAATAAGTGAAGACAAATCATAAGTCATATTCAGGATTCTGAAATGTCAAATCTGATACTGTTTTGACATATTTGCTGAGAATGTCTCACCCTGTCACCCTTCTTGTATGTCCACATCATGTTGACCTGGCTCAGTGGTGTGAACTGGTCGATGTCGGCTGAGGCACAGTCCGAATCATCAAACTCTGGCAGGGGCGACCACAAGATAGAACCTGCTATACTCCGCCCATAGGAGCGCACTTGGTAGAAATAGCCTGTAAGATATACAGATAACATTACATTTAACAACACTATTCAAAATACCTACTAGTTTTTTTAGAACCAAAAAGCTCATTGCATTACAACAACTTGCTACTAAGTTGCTTGCTATGATGGTCTTTGGCCTTTGTGACATAGCTTGCTCCAAAAAAAATAAGGATACAGAAGAGCTATTTTAAATGCATGTTATACAACTAAAGGGAGTACAAAGTTCCCCCGGCAGGTTGTCTTGGCTGCAATTTCCAAAACGATAGACAGGGGGCACTGCAGCACAGTGTAATTTCTCAATTTGTGTCCATGAATGCAAATAAAAATTTCACCTGAAGGTATGAAGATACAGTCTCCGGGTCGGAGGGTTGCCCAGGTCCAGGGGATCTTGGAGATGTGCGGGTTTGTGAACACGTTGATCATGTCCATGTTCATGGTCGAGTAACCTGAACCAGAAAACTTTTTCTGTGCAAACAAGGAAGGACAACAAGTTAGCTAAAAGTTTATTAACTAGTGCAGATATGTTATATTTAAGGGTTGATGACCCGCCCCGAGGTGAATATGGTGTGATAAAGCCTTGTCAGTTGCTATAACCACCGAATAAAGCCATCGAGTGAGTGACAGCGAACGAGGTGGCTTTATGAGGTGGTTATAGCAACTGAGGTGGTTATAGCAATGTGGAATGGAGCCTTCTGATTGGTCAACGTCACCTGGCTATATGATAATACTGTACTACAGGTCTACTGCCTTGTAGCTGATTATACATTAAGTGATGTAACCAGATAATGGCTGGAAAGATTATTCTAACTTACATGGCTCCTATCATAGCATTTCGGGCTATCATAGGATGCCTCTAGGTCTTTTTTTTCACCCTGTCACTTCTGATTCATATTTTTTCTAAAAAAAAAAATAGGAGAACCAACAAATCAAATTGGTGTGGCCTTAGAGGCTACACCAGTCCACCATACCTTCTCTTCCAGGTCCAGTTGGTCAGCATACTTGGGGTGGATCATGATGAAGTCCTTGCGGCCGGAGAGCAGACACTGCAGGTTGTGGTCAGCGTCGTACTGCAGCATGGAGCTGGTCCCGCCCGCAGACATCCACAGGTTCGTCTCCAGGACGTGCCGCCGGAACGTTCCACACAGCAGCGAGCGGGGGACCTGAATCAACAAATTGCTGAACCATTAACAGCGCCTCCTAGCAGCTTGAAAACAAAGTACACTCTACTAGTAGAGTCGTGGGAAGGGTAATTAAGTGTTTATCACTTTGGGGGTGTTCATTCTTCTTTCTACTACAACAATGTATCATCAAACTGTTAGATCTACCTAGGTTTGATGGTCCTGGGGCCTAAGGAACACAGGTGGTCGTGGAACTGTGAACTATCCACGGGTTAGAGACCATACCTGCAAAATGACCATTTTAAACCAACTACTAGACTAAGTATACGTTTGGTGGCATCAAATGGCCAATTAGTTAGGCTAGCGGATACAAGACCGAAAAAACAAAGGTTCCTCACATTCCTAGCTAAACGTTGTGTCCTTGGGAAAGGCACTTAACACTTTGCTCACTCCACCCAGATGTAAAATGGGTGCCTGATTTCAGTTGGGAAGGTGAAAGGTGGTGGAAGGAGAGAGATGGACTCTGCCTTCCAATACCGTACCCTAGACACAGTGGATCAACAACCCACTGCCTCTATGGCCTCAAAAAGGCTATGGGAGTTTCTTAACCTAAAATTTTCATATAAAAGACAACTTTCCAAAAGTACTATGGTTGCGGTGACTCACCATCATCTCTTCTCTCATTGGGTCTGGCAGCAGTGACACAACGTACCAGTCCTCGTACTCGTAACTGTCCAGAAAGTCTTTCAGAGACATTCGCTCCAGTGGCGCTACTCCGCTAGCCACTTTCTTCTCTATCAGGACATCCAGGGCTCCATAACTGTAGCAATACAAACGACAACAATTCATTCAACTGAGAGGACATCTATTAATCTTGAAGCCTGCACGCAATTTTTCATGTAATATTTTTGCAAAAGTTAATCAGTTTTTGTTAAAAAGTGCGGTTACTTTAACATTTGCAATTCCACGTTGTAATATAAGTTTTTGTTTAATATCACACTTTAAATTCCACAAAGAATCTTTCTTCTTTAGAATGTCAGTACTCATGATTAGAAGAAATAAAACAAGATGAATATCTCATGACAAAACTGTGTACAGTGTTATACTCTAAGGTTTCCACAAGGCCCCTTACTTCTCCCTGATGTGCTCATCAGTCTGCCATTTGAGGAAGGCGGGGGCCTTGACAACAGCCTGCCTGTAGATAAGCGGGACTCTGTGTTGCACATGCTGTTCCCAGAATTCCCTGGGGGCCAGCAGCTCTTGGTACTCCTTCACTCGAGCTTCTGGCTTCTTCTGGTAGCCTGGAGGGGAAAAAACAGAGAAATTCTTTTTCTCAGAATGTATATTTTATAGCATTTGCTATAATTATGTAGTAATCTCTGGTATCTTTGTATCGTTGTACATTTTTATTAATAGTAGATGGTTTTCAGGCTGTCCCTCCACATTGTGCAAAATGAAAAGATCTTTCAGCTAATCAGCAACTGCATTTGCAACAGAGTTTATACGATAACAGGAAAAAATGCATAGTTTAAGGAAATGCCTCCGCCCCTGAGGCGTCGCCAAAAAAAGCAAATGTACATGTAACTGCACTAGGAGACCACTTTTGCCCAAGAGGTAGCCAAGATCAAAATGGTATTTAGTTATTTCAAAAGTTTACCGAGTCCCTTCCTAGGGAAGCAATAGTAGTAATAGTTACATAATAACATGAAACAATACACAGTGCAACAGTTAAATGCAACATCATCACATATTAAATTTGTAACCGTTATATAGCGTTCTCGAGCGCTCGGGGCAAATACTAGTTGTACTCATTGAGGGGAGAACTATTTATTTTGTACCAGATTTATCGTACCACTTTATCAAACAAATCATGAGAGAAAAGTCAATAATACCACAGCACACAACATTTAATGCCCTCTCCACTAGACTTGCGACACAGATCAAAGCTCTCGCCGACTTAGACTAGTTGTAAATCTCGTTGTTTTAGATTCTATGGCCGCCAATTTATTCACACTTCTCTGCCAAAGGGGAGTTACCTATTACGATATTTAGGAAGAAAAGGAACGTGTTGCTAACTATATTTAATGTTAAGTTCCTTACCCAGTGGCCGTAGATGTCCGTCAGGTAGACCAGAGTCACTCCTCTTGACGATCGGCGGAAACTGCACATCCGTCCGCATGTCTTTGGGGAAGTGTATATCCGAGGCCGACAGGGAGAGTACGGCAAAAACTATAGCTGCCCTAAACAACATTTTTCCCTGAATGTTCCAACTGAACTTTGGAAATTAAAGTTCAACGTGGATATTTTTTCAGGGATAGTGTTGGGGAGGGGGGTCCTGTGCCGGCCACGTTTCACCGTGACAAAGTAAAACGTGTCGCAGGTTTTTGAATGACGCCCGGCCGGTGTATCCTGGAGGACTACGTGGCGGTCCTCGACTCGCTGTCAAGCGCCTAAACTACAAGATAAACTTTTACGCTAAATCCTTTTGTTGCCGTGCAATAGTGGGAGGGCCTAAGTACCGCCAGCTGCCGCCGTTGCTATAGCGCGGCGGCCACTTGACCATAGTCCCGCCCCCTTTTCTTCCAAACAACTGGCACAAGATGACGCCAGGACCTTTTGATCGGCGGAATTTGTTCTTACTTGGTAACTCAGACATGGTGTTTGCATAAAGGAACAGTTCTAACACAGCTGATCGTTGTTTGAGTTTCACTGGCGCAGACTGTCGTCAGTTCCGGGTTCAAAGGACACCTGTTGCTAAAACAAAGACCTCGCACTGGTGTTTCAAAAACCGCATACGATTAAAACCGTATAAAACCGTATACAAATACTTGAAACGTACACAATCTATCTCTGAATGTGATATATAGTTTATTGTGCACAATTGGCATGTTGGAAAGAGATACATCTTACAATATCTGATATTAGCACGGGTATATTTATTTTGCATTGAAACCAGTTTCTGTCATAGGTTTGTAAGACCATGTTACGAGGAAACTGGAAGAAATGTCACGACGATTGTTAACCTCCCTTATACCCTTCACCATGAAATATTTACAGATTCATTGTTCTTTTACCCAATGACTGAACATCGGCACTGAAATGAACAAAGTTGCTGAATATCTGCTAACAGTAACAGTGCCTCCTAGCAGCTTGATAACAAAGTACACTTTGCTGATGGAGCTCGAGTGTGATCACGGTATAAACCACAAGTTCTGTTCAACACCTTTAATACTGGTGTACATTCTGCTTTCTTCTACAAATATATCATGAACTGTAAGATCTACCTTGGTCAGGTTGTCCCATATTCTTAATAGTTAGTGTCTTTGCTCACACCATCTATTAGCATATGCTGTACACATCCACACCCAGAATGAATTAATTTTATGATTGATTTCGAAGCGCTATTTACTTTATGTTTCCGGAATTCCCCAGTCGTAAAGATACAGTTGATTCCCTGAAACATGGATCATTTCAAGGAACACTACCGCTGTACATGTGTGCGAAGTACAAGCACTTACTAGTAGATACTGTTTAACGTTTTGTTACAGATACTAAATGTAAACGGCCTCGCTAGAGACGTCAAAGTGAGGTGCCATTTCAGTCGACCTAAGCCTTGCCGCTTCCTTTACAATGATCCCTTTTATGTCCAGGAAAATGACGACTGTTGTGACTTTTCTCAGCTCCCACGCCAGCGAAGCAGGATATATCAGTTGTGAAATTCCCAGGAGCCATTCGAATGTGACAGTCGCTACTCGCATATCAGGAGTGTCCGCTGTTTTGGTGAAGACCAGGGCGAGTGTTATCACAAACGGCACCAAGGTGCCCGTCACCAGAATCGCTAAGAACAACCTCAGACCAAATGTACCCATGGTTGTGCCGCCAGAATCTCGTAGTTTGTACGTCAGGACAGTCTGTAGCCACGTGTAGGCCGTACTAAGAAGGAAGGCCATTGCTGCTCCAATAACGTGTGCCACGAACATCTCCGCCCACTGAAAGGCACCCACCATGCTCAGTCCCAGCGCCGCTAGCAGTCCGATTATCAGGGTAGCCCTGTTCAGTCTGGTCGGTCCGCCATGTTGGGCGACGTAGCGATAGTTCAGAATCAGTGTTGCAGCGATACCGGAAGCGCCGATGTTCAGGGTCATCGTGAAGATGCCCCGTTCAGGATGTTCCGTCCCGGTGTCACTGATGAACACGGCACTGGTCTTGTGTCCCAGGCCTATGGTCAGACCGAGACACACAAACCACAGAGATATCACACCGAACACCAAGAACAGCGGGGACAGACAGTACCTGCTGTACTCCATTGCTGAAGTTACAGGTGAGGACAGGTCACGTAGTACATTTACATAAGAAGGCACATATTATTATTGAAGGACCACACTGTTGAAAACACACGTGAGAAAACTCAGAAACGGAGGGTTATATGTGCCTGCACGTTTCAGAGTCACAGATATGGCGCTTGCTTCGCTAACCCACACCATCGGTAAACCGGTTAAACCACATCCACACAAGGCCATATCCCTGGCAAAAGGTGAAACTTTTGCCAGGGAAGCAACAAGTTGCAGCCAACAGTGCCCCCTAGCAGCTTGATAACAAAGTTCACTTTACAAGTGGAGTTGTGGGAAGGGTTAACCACAAGTTCTGTTCACTTTTCTGGTGTTCATTCTTCTTTCTGACACAACTATGTATCATCAAACTGTTAGATCTACCGAGGTTCGAAGGTTCCTATACCCTATGCATGATGAACTAATCATATGCTGAAAATCAATGAAATCCGTCAAACCCACCGTCAGCTACAGCTGCAAACAAACAAACTGTCGAAAACAGTATCCTTCCGTGAAAGGATATCTCCTTCTCCGGAAGTACATGTAGCCAAGTGTATAATGTCCTTGATGTAACAAACAACATGGAAACGCATGCGCATGCACAGCATATAAGCCGTTACCCAGGGAAAATTCGCTTTTTCTAGGCAGGTTGAATTCGAAAAACTGCAAAAAAAACTATATTTTTCGTATCCAAAAGTTAAGCTTAACTACAGTTTCTACCCAAATTATAGGGTCAACAGACGATAACCAAAATTGTATCGGAAGCCGGTTGGAAACCTCCGTTCACTGATATAATGAGATTTCCCGGCGTACTTTTCTTGGCGGAGTTGAAGCTCTTCAGTCTGAGGGTGTCCGCCAGATACAAAATCGTGAAAAAAAACTCCGGTCCGAGACCTTAAGTCGTAAACAATGCTGTGATATAAGGTTACATTTCCTTACCTGTGATAATGGAGTACAGCAGGTACTGTCTGTCCCCGCTGTTCTTGGTGTTCGGTGTGATATCTCTGTGGTTTGTGTGTCTCGGTCTGACCATAGGCCTGGGACATAAGACCAGCGCCGTGTTCATCAGTGACACCGGGACGGAACATCCTGAACGGGGAATCTTCACCATGACCTTAAACATCGGCGCTTCCGGGATCGCCGTGTTACAGATTCTACACTATCGTTACGTCGCCCAACATGGCGGACCGACCAGACTGAACAGGGCTACCCTGATAATCGGACTGCTAGCGGCGCTGGGACTGAGCATGGTCGGCGCCTTTCAGACGGAGAACCTTGTGGTACACTCTATTGGAGCAGCAATGGCCTTCCTTCTAGGTACGGCATACACGTGGCTACAGACCGTCCTGTCGTACAAACTACGAGGCACTGGCACAACCACGGGTACATTTGGTCTGAGGTTGTTCTTAGCGATACTAGTGACGGGCACCTTGGTGCCGTTTGCGGTAACGTTCTTTCTGGTCTTCTCTCCAGAGCGAGTAGCGTCTGCCATCTTACAATGGATTCTGGGAATTTCACTGCTGATATACATGGCTACGCTAGCGTGGGAGCTGAGAAAAGTCTCAACCGTCGTCATTTTCCTGGACATGAAAGTGTTCACTGACTTACAGAAAACGGCAAGGTTTAGACCGACTGAAATGGCACCTCGAAACATCTCTACCGCGTCCGTTGACAGTTAGTATCTGTGATAAAACGTTAAACAGTATCTAACTCAATTTAATGCTCTGCAAACGGACAGTGTCAAAGCTCAAGAGACACAAAGAGAAACAATCCCTGTTACAGAGAATCAACTATACCGTTTACGGTACTCTGAGAAGAAAGGACTGAAAAGACTGAATAGCTCTTTGTACATTCACTCTGGTTAAAGAGCTAATCCTAAGGAATGGGTAAGGTGAAGACTGAAAAGGGTGCAAAGTTATATAGAACATACGCTTAAAATGCTGTGGGGGGAAGGCAGATTATTTGAGGTCCAGATGGACTGTATCACACTACGTTCATGTGTATTATGATTGTGACGTCGCCCATCTTTTTCTTGTTATGTCTAAAATTTTCAGCATTCGTTGTGATCATAATGCGTTACATACTTCCAGGAGATTTGGAATCTTGGATTTGGAACTGTAAAACATTCTCTAAATGTTACAAAAGTCACTACGGCGCCCATCCCCAGTCCAACAGATAGAACCAGTAGTAGGTGAGGTACCAGCCTTCCCGCGAGTCACTGGTGACGCAGCCCGGGAGGGGGGAGTCGTCCCGGGCGTCCTTACCGGGGCGGGGGGACACGTACGTCCCGTTCCACGGGATGTGGCAGGTCGGAGGCTCGGCGTCCTCGATCACGGACGAGTAGAACGTCAGGTCCACGAACTGGAAGTGTGATGAGTTTGTTATAAAGGTTACTTGTCAAAAACAAGCCATCGAAACGTTATATTGTCGAAATTTAATTGAAAAGCTTGAAAAGGAAGAACAGAATTTCGCAAAATACATTTCTTGTTATACTGATATCAAAATGTTACTTACTACATGTAATTGTAATAGATTACTTGCTCCTTCGTTCATTCAACATTCATTCCTTAACTTTCTTTCACTCAAAACGCTCCATCTTTTTTGCGTCGATGGTTGTGAAGTCATTATCAAACGACCACAGCAACGCCTGATACTATAAAACGTGTCATTACAAAATCTTGAAGATGCCTTAAAGGTGGCGTGGAAGCTGTGTTCTTGTCCGGGACTGACGTCGTTTAGAAGTGCCGGCAATATTTAAAGAAGGTACATGCAGTACATTTTGTAATGACAAAAACATGGTGCGGTTTGCTCGAGAATAACCTCTATTTCGCACACATATCACCACAGTTTTGATAGGGTTAAAAAGACATTGCATCAAAATACTAGTATATCTCAATTCAAAGCGCATTCGTACTAGCTGCTTCTTTGTGTGAAGCAATGGCGCGCGGCCCCTTTGCAAAGTTTCTTGAACATTGCCAGTATGCCAGTATCAAAATTCAGCTGAATTTTCTCTTTTTTTTTTCTTTCTGGCAAAGCATAAACCAAACTCCTTTGGTGCCGGACGAAATAGTGGAACATCGGCTACCCCCATTTCATTGGCTAACTCCAGTACGAGTGCCTTAACACATTTTACAATTTTTATGTTTTTGCAGCAGGAAAATATGTTGTTTTTCCTCTGTTTCTTCTTCACTTTCTTCTCCAAACAAGTAAGGTCAATGACCTGAACCGGACGTCTGTCACCATGGTAACTGGTTATATCTAATTTCCTCAGCCACCAAAGTAGCCTGGTATAGGCTAATACATTTCTAAAAGCCGCTACGCCCATCCCCAATCCAGCAGGTAGAACCAGTAGGCGGTCATGTGATAGCCTTCCCGTGATTCCATGGTGAAGCAGCCCGGGAGTGGGGAGTCGTCCCGGGGGTCGGTGTTGGGGCGGGGGGACACGTACGTCCCGTTCCACGGGATGTGGCAGGTCGGCGGGGAGGCGTCCTCGATCACGGACGAGTAGAACGTCAAGTCCACGTACTGGAAATTTCATGCTTTCGTTAATTGATTTTTAAAAACCTCCATTGATGATATTTACTTGAATGGTCATAGAAAAAGGAAGAAGGAAAAAAAAAACAAAATTTCGCTGCTCATATGCTCCCTTGTTTATGTTTACCGAAGGAAAAGATATTATTTTTGCTCCGTTTCCTCTTCTTCCGTTCCTAACACAAAAGGTCGATGACCAGAACCAGACATCATGGCAACTCGTGTTGGGTTACATAATGCTGCAATTTTATAGCAGGAGGGATTTAGACTCCTGTCACCATATATATGAATGTGTTTGGGTAAGAATAACAGAGGAGACAATATGCGAAGGTAAACATTATGCATTTGCTTTATATTTATTTGCAAATGTTAGCTTTTTGTTGTTCTTTGGTTCCTGTACCCTTTCATTCCGTCGCTTTCTTTCATTTTTTTTCATTCATTCCACCACTCTATGATCAGCTAAATTGATAAAACCAAGGAGCTTAAACATTAGAACGTCGTTGATATAACGTACCATCTTGGCTGACTCCCTCGCGGACCCAACTGCGTTTGAGACAGTGTACACCAGTGGTCCATGGTCACATGACCCGACCATGATCTTCTCTGATTGGTTGTATTTCTTGTTCGGGAGAAGTTGGTCCGTTGCTACGGTGGCAATGCATCTGTCATGGCAACGGTAAAGAAAGGATGTTCAGTAGTTATGATGAGAAATAAAGAGAAACAAAAAATCAGACTTTTCAGACCCCCTGGAAGTATGCAATCCTAGGCCTCCTGAATTCCCCCATGTCACCACCATATTCCTACTGACTTCCGGTGCGACCAAATGCCAACCATGAATCTCACTCCGTTTCCTCTGCCTGACCTTTTGAACTAGCTGCCATTCTGCCTGACAATCTTCACCAACCCACGTGCTGTCAACCTACTCTGCGGATAGAAAAGATACACAAGAACAGCTCAGCCACCCAAAACAATACTTCGGCACCCGGAAGTAAGACGTAAGTACGTGGAGCCATACGGTCGGTCTATCTCTGCGTTGCTAAGTAAATCTAAATGTCCGAAGTGTGAAATCTGTGATGTCACGTGGAGCATTGGACTCCAACATCCTACCATTTGCCTTACCCCTGCCCTTTCAGTCCAAAATCCAAGGCTTTCTCGCGTAATGTTTGTCGCAACACGATCTAATTTTGTTCGAACGTTAATTTGGATTTCTCACCCGTCTGGGTCCCAGGTATCGTTGACGGTAACAAGGAACCGGATCCAGCCGACTTTTTCGGCGGAGAAGTTGTTGTTTTGACCGAACGCTAACATTTGCGCACCCGCCAACAGGAGCAACGACGCTAGCAGCACTCGTCCGGACGCCATCTTGTTAGTTGCGATGTTCGATAGACTTTGTTATCATCAACCTTGGGTTGTTTGCAGGTAGAAGCAGGCCAGGGGGCGTTTCCGATTGTTGAACAGTTCAAATATAAACCGCTAGGCGTCGCGTTTAAAGCGAGCGACCGTAAGTTTCTCCGAACATGCCCAGCCCGTGTTTCCATGAATCTCAGAGGATTATCCACGTTACAACGGTTTCTCTACCTTTACCATATTATCGGGTATTTAACCAGATAGACTGGACCGACGTCGTTTGAAATCCAATGCTTGACAAGGCAAATATTTCTCAAAATTCAAGAGAAATTCTATTTGCGAATAGTAGTAGTAAGGCGGCCATCCCTACTTGTTTGACCTCGGATGACGCCATTGTTCTATGACGTCATAATCGAATGACGTTCGAATGTTACGATGGAAACTCCTGATAAACAAATGGTAAAACCACGCAGGTCGTCAGAAAATCTTGAAGATGCCATGAAAGCGGGCTGGAAGTTGTGTTCTTGTCCTGGAATTACGTCCATCAGAAGTTCTGACAAGACGACATTGTCATGGGATGTGCGCCAAGCTTCGCCATAGTCATAGACCCCGTCAGATTTGAAAGAGAAAGCCTGTACAATGCGGCAGGTAAGTTTGTAACGTTACGTGACGCCAAGGTTGTTTTAAAAGATAACAACAGATGGTCGCGGCACCCAAGGACAACGTTTATAAGGTATTCCCGTGACTCCGTATCTTCATTCTGACTACAATTCCATCTAAAACTGTGTTTTTGCCGGGTTTTTGTTCTAGAAATGTTAGACTTATATGAATATTCGGTGCTATGACACTTGTTACCGGGGTTCAGTTTGAAACATCTACGTTTAGAATGCATGTTCGATTGGCGTTCCTTCGAATCGTGCACTTTTAATTTTCCGCTAGTTGAGTGTACGCTGCACGCTTGGTAGAGTGTAAGAATGATCAGTTCATTTTTATCGTTATTCTGAGGCACCAGCAGTACCTTTCTTCATACATGTATCTACACTGGTAAAGGCGATGTCGCATTCGGTGTACAATGCTAGCGTACCTATGACAAAACCGTACGTAGTCGACAAGGAAGTATTACGTACATAAACCTTTTCCGATATCCGTACGACACATTCACGACGTAATTCTGTCGTAGGACAAATGTGAGTTGGTCCATATAGGTAGAGGTTGTATGTGATGATAGTCGTTTTGGAAATACTACGCCACTAACTCAAAAATTACAAGGAGCGTTACTGCTGTTCTATAGTATTAAATACTCATAAACAATTCAAACTCTACTGCTAAACAAATACGTTGACGCTGAAATAGAGTGATGGATGTCACTCGAAACGTATCGTTTACCTTGATGCCAAACCATAATCAATGTTACTGAAGTGATTGACAAAATGTTGCATCAATTTCTATGTTTACTGTGGATTTTCTAACATCGCCACGTAGGTGTGTGCGCTCTACCCGAGAAGAGAAAAGCGCCCCCTACCGCTTCAGAAAAAGCGTGCACGACTCACTGTTCTGACCTCCTCGCCGAGAGACTGGCGATCAAGGAGGCCAGGATGTTATTTGAGAGTGAGTACCACCCATCGCGAACGTGTTGGAGAGAGGTTTCAGATATTTCCAGAAGCACACATGCTGTAATCGTTCTTCTCAGTAATAGTAGTAGTAGTAGTAGTAGTAGTAGAAGTAATAGTAATAGTAGTAGTAGTAGTAGAAGTAATAGTAGTAGAAGTAGTAGTAGTAGTAGTAGTAGTAGTAGTAGTAGTAGTAGTAGTAGTAGTAGTAGTAATAGTAGTAGTAGTAGTAGTAATAGTAGTAGTAGTAGTAGTAATAGTAGTAGTAGTAGTAGTAATAGTAGGAGGAGGAGGAGCAGTAGTAGCAATAGTAGCAGTAGTAGTCGGCCATCATTACATTTACATTCTAAATATTTTCAATAGAATCCTCCCTTCTCATATATAATCCTATCTGTGCATTTCCCCGTTTGCAGCAGATACGAATTATAAAGAGTTGATGGAACAGTACCCAAAGTGGACCGAGGACGATATCAACGCCTTCAGAATGCAGTTTAAGTCCTTTGATCTCAATCAGGATGGCCTAATTGACTACAGAGAACTGTGAGTTATCATAAATAATAACTAGAAAAGGTAATATTTGCAAAGCAAATGCATTATGTAAACCTTTGCATATGGTCTGCTCTGTTAATAATTTTTACCCAAACAGGAGTCAAAATCCCTCCTGCTATAAAATTGCAACATTACGTAACCCAACACCAGTTACCATGGTCACAGACGTCTGGGTCCAGGTCATTGACATTTTGTGTTTGGAGAAGAGGAAACTGAGCAAAAACATATGTTTTCCTTCGGTAAACATAATAATTTGGCTCGAGGGCAAAGATCATGCTCGAGGGCTTGTACAGTGTAAAAGAAAGTAAAGTAATGCATGGGGAACATACAACTAATGCCTGATTAATTTATACTACTAAAAATTGCTATTTATTGGATTTAATTCTCTCTTTGAAGGCAGTGGATAATGAATAGTCCCACGTCCTGCATTATAAGTGTTTTTTGTGAGCCTAGTAGAAACGTAGTCTTTTTGTGATATTTAAAATGATAAAAGGGTGGGGGGAATTGTGTTTGAAATATAAGTCTAGTTTATATCGCTAATATGCTTGGTCGATTATGATTCTACTGTCCTACTGGACTCCATTATTAGATACTATTTGCGGTACTGGCTATAATTTTGTGCAAATTTGTGCTGCTTTCCCCTTGGTATTTCAGAGCAGTCATAAAAATGCAGATTGACTGTGGCGCCTGCATCAAACATGTGACCTTGAAATCTAGTATTAAGTCTAACGGTGTATCAGATGACGTCATACAGACCCTGTGGTGCCGTTGTGTTTATTTCACACGTATTTCACCGCCGGCGGGTTACAGGGTCTTTCCTTGGTGCTGAAATCGGAGCGCCTCCTAGCAGATCACATCGGTACTGCAAGTTTCTGCTCCTCTGCGTGTGCCAAATCGCAGGATCATATTTCCTTGTCTTGTATCCACTTTAGGTGCCAGGTACTTGACGAGATGGGCGACGAGTCGAAAGAAGAGGTCAGACGAGAGTACTTCAAACAAGTGGATGTAGACGGGTCGGGGGCGGTCGATTTTGAGGAATTTCTAGTGGTGCGTTCTGTCAGTTTATTCTCTGTGTGTCTGGTTGTGCAACCTTTGATTTGAATAGATTTATGCTTTCTGCTAACGTTACTCGCTGATGATGCTATGTGAAAAGAATTGAAGCCCTTTCCATGAATAGTTTAATCAGGAATGATCGAATAGCCAAGTTCTTTATTCACAACAGTTCTTTTTAGCAAGAGCCGACGTTTCGATAACTGTCTGTCATCTTCATCAGGGCTAATATTATTCTGTGCACTGAAGCTAGGTGTTACTGGTTCACTGAAACCCTTTCGTTGTCTTTTCTTTTCTCCAATGTTCTATCAGTTGATTGACCAGGTCACAAATTGTAAGGAATAGCAGACGTTTTGATGACCGTCTGTCATCTTCATCATGACAGACGGTCATGCTGATATTACTGTTTTTCTGTGCACTGAGGCTAGGTGTTACTGGTTCACTGAAACCCTTTGTTGTCTTTTCTTGTTCTATTAGTTGATTGACCAGGTCACAAACAGTGACAACTCGGGCGGCCTGGGCATGATGTGCTCCAGAGGAACGGAAAGCGTTCGCAAACTGCGCAGACTCACGTTTGAACAGCAGCTCAACTACGGGCTTTTCTGACACAAGAAACTGATCTCTATCTTAGTGAACTGAAAACATTAAATGCCTGGTTGTTGGGTGGGCGAGTGATAGTACGGCTTATTTCGGTGTGGCGATGTCCTATAGTGCATATATTTTTATTAGTCATTTTACTTTCCATGAAACATGATGATGTGTATGTATGTGTTACGAAACCGACAGTCGAAACTGCGACATTATGTGGCATGGATTGACCCTATGACGTCATTTTATTCTCACCTACTGATTGGCCAGAAAACATGAAAACGCGATGATGTTTTGAAGCTAGTTTTGTTATGATCCATTCCATACCCATAAGACTCATTTATGTGTGTGCCTTTTTTTGCATTTTAGGGCTCATTTTTTACAAAGCCGTCCTTTGACTTTTAAGAGTCGACGTATAATATTTCACGTCGGTTCTACTATTTAAAGAATAAAAACGTTGTCATAAAGAATATTGTTGCCATCTTTTCTACAATCCATGGAAAAATAAGTATGAATGCAGATCCATGTATGGTCTTACGTGCACCTCAGCCAGACAGTCAGGTATTCGTGTGTGGTTCTGTATGAATTATGGAGATGAAATATCGAAAAATTTCTTTGCGTCACGTAATCACTTTGATATTCACGCTGGATGAGAGTCAAAATGATTTCAAAGATCTCAGACGTTACGAAGCGTAAGACGCGTATTAGACGGTACTTACGGCGGCCGTCTTGTGAAGTGTTCTGACGTTTGATGACGTCAGTACGTCTCCCACAACGTGCAACAACTGATCGTCTTTGGTCGTAACAAGACCTGGGAACGTGGTGCTGACGTCACATTTCATTCCTCACCCTGGGAATGAGATTCATTGCCGCCATGTGTCTTCAAAGGAAGTCCTTCGAATTTATTTACGGAGACGGGAATACACCTTGGTAGCAGCTGCCAAAAAGTGTTTCGGTATTTCTCTCTACACACACACCGCATCTTTAGCTGTGGCAGACGTTAAAATATATTGCAATGTTTTATTCAACATGTTGCGGTCGGATTCCTTGATGAAGAAACTCACCGTGCCAAGTCTGTCGACCTTTGAAACAGTTGGCTCTAATCCCTACCAGCGTCGTAATGGCGGCCAAGAGAAATAAAAAAAAACTAAAGACATAGAAAATTCATCATCTCCAGCGAGCCGACCCACGGTACCAGCCATCCATTTCATCGATATCTTGTCATCCTTCCCTCGTATAAGTTATTAACAGCCGTGCATTTGCAAGATCGTTCCCGGTCCCAGAGGACCCCCAGCCGCGCGTTCCGTTCCTACGCATCCCGTGCAAATACGTGTGAAGAATACGACTTGTCTCGCCCATTAGCTGAAACGACATATCAGCGGAGGATGAGGCGGCCAGTGGCTAGTGTGGAATACCTAAATAGCGGGTTCTGCAATGATAGAATATTGCCAAATTGATAAGGGCGCCTGTAGGGCTAGTTAGTAGCGCATGGTGGCGCTGTTTTGGGGCAACAACCTGGGACTATAGCAGCGGGACTTGAAGGGATTTTGTTGCCAACATTCAAGCTTCCTGTACAATTTATCCATATGGATCTCGACAAATAGGCTCGTGATTTAGGGCTAAAGCTGGATGTAGTCTTCAGTCAATCCCACTGCAATTTTCCTAAAGGACCTCTCATGTTTGTTGCTCTTACTTTTGGTACGTATCTCATTATCTGAGCGATCTATGGGGTCTTTCCTTGGTGCTGAAACCACCTGTATAACAACATCAGCGCGTTCTACCTTATAATACAGTAGTTCTGTTTCTATCTTTTGTCAAGTAACTGCTTGCGATAATCTTCACTATCAATTACATGCTAACAAAAACCCACATTACCTAAAAATAAATAAATCGATGAATTAGCGATAAAAAATACTTATTCTAAAAAACTACGTGTATCAAGGGAAATCATAGACGTGGGCACAATCGAAACGATGAGAGGAAAAATAGACTAGGAATTTTTAGCAGACATTCTAAACAAAATGAATGGTCCCGGTTGTGGCAAGCTCTCAGTGTGCACCATAGTTATGGCGCCGTGTAACACACCGCCCTGTAAGTGATATGATAATATGTCGCACTGTAAATGTTCCACATAAAACCCCCCTAACACGGCATGAACGCCACGGCAAACGGCCTGTACTTAGCCAATTGGGGCAGAAATGCGCAGTGGAGGTCTTTACTTTTATGAACACTAGACACTTGCCGCGAGAGCTGTAATGGTTGGAAAATTCGCCGTTACGAATTCGAAAGCGATAAAAAAGAAGAAAAAAAACGCAGCGGTTGTTAGATATGTATCCAGCACATCTCTCTCTATCGCTGGCCTGGGCACCGGCCTGGGCTAATCGATCGCAACCTTGACCTTCCAAATCATGCACATGCCTGTACCAGTCAGCGACTGTAAAACGGCTGATAAATCATGGGCCACGAAACTGTGTGATTTGACTATGTAAAACGCCTGGAGCTCTGCTATACTATGATGTGTACTAGCTACGTATACGGCACAGTACCGATCCAACCGCCCTGGTTTGATGTTAGTTGTAAAAGTGGGAGGTGCCATAGCTGCTTCGTACGTTTCTCTGATGCAGAACCATCCCAAAGTGTACAACCATCCCACAATGTGCAACCATCTCGCGTTGTGCAACCATCCCACAGTGTGCAACCATCTCGCGTTGTGCAACCATCCCACAGTGTGCAACCATCTCGCGTTGTGCAACCATCTCGCGTTGTGCAACCATCCCACAGTGTGCAACCATCTCGCGTTGTGCAACCATCCCACAGTGTGCAACCATCTCGCGTTGTGCAACTATCCCACAATGTGCAACCATCTCGCGTTGTGCAACCATTCCACAGTGTGCAACCATCTCGCGTTGTGCAACCATCCCAAAGTGTATAACCATCCCACAGTGTTTAACCATCCCACAGTGTGCAACCACCGCGTTATGTGTGCAGTCATCCCATTTTTTTTTGCAAAAAAAAAAAACTTTTTTTATCTCATCATCTGCTTACAGACTGTAATCTGCTTGGAGATCAGCCGCAGTTAGTCTATCAAAAAATCCCAGATAAACCCGTCATAACCCGGATGTTCCAGATCTTCTCCGGAAGCACGCGGCTAGATCTCCAAACAGATGTGTGGGGGTTCACAAAACCAAGCCAAAGTCCAAAACATCTGCCCGACGATTAGGTAGATCCAGCCCTCCGATATATGCAGGGCACGCCGTTTAGGCTGTCGGAAACCAACTCGCCAAATCAAATTAGACCCCGCGCAGTTTATCAGCCGCGAAGGTGTAGTCCCGGGGCGGCGGGACAACGTTTCTAATTCCGCCATGTCTGAGGAGAAAAATTGCCCCCAAGGTCTAGGTCTCCGCTCGAAGCCACGGCGAACATACCAATGCGGGGAGGCTTGAGCTGACACACCGGGTACCGAGTAGACGGAAGGTCTGATATTCCCGACACGGGTACCACACTTCATCATCATTCACACAAGATCAATAAGTTCAAGTTCGGGTACAAATTACCCCCTAAATAAACATCCTCAGCCTTTTTACTCCGACAATCCAACCGTACCTCATACAGTCATATCGTCAATAAATCGATGGGATATTTTCATTTATTCATTTGCGATATCCCGGTAGAATATGTTCCTGTCGATTTTGACATGTTCGTTTTTGACAGTGGAGTGAATTCGGGAGTATAATGGCCGACCGAGGGTCAAGTAGACATAAATATGTTCATGAAACTATGACCGAGAACGAAAATTGATGTCTGTGCTTATTCGTAGCCTCCCGTCGTTCAAATGTACTTGTACATGTGCGGTCTATGCAACAAGTTTGCTCCTGTATCTAATGTTTTCTCGAAGACAGATCGGAAAGTGGAATCGCTAAAACATATATCCAGATATTCTGCAGGAAACATGATTGTAATATTTAATTATGCCATATAAAAGTATGCTTCCCCTCTATTAAATACATGCTAGATTTAAGATTCTAGAAAATCGTATACTTAAAAAATTGCAGAATCCTTTCGGACGAATTCTGACATTCCTATAGTTCTTACAGATACAAACTGTGAAGCTAAGGACATCTCAAAACCAAGCCGCTGTTTTGAAGTATTGATGCGACATTAATAGTTGCCTTCTATTCCTTTACTTTCTCTTATTCAACCTTAGTCCACACACATTTATTGAATGGGTGATATCGGGCAATATCTGCTTGTATCAAAACGCGTTACCTAAAAATGGAAATAACCAACTTCAGAGCAATTCTTAATCTATTGATAGCCTTAAGTGATGTTTGCTGTTTTTGGTGTGTAACTAAATATAAATCTTGACTTCTGATGAAAGGTCAATGACCTGGCCTGCCCCAAATTGCACATTATCCCGTCCTAAGGTCCGTCTGGGTTAATAAGATCGATAAAAGTCAGTCCGACCCTGAGTTACAGGTAACTGGTCAAGCGGTCGACGATTTGCTTATAATATCTCCCACATGCCATAACATGACTCGGCGTAACACACCAGCTTCGCAGGCACGCGGCGCGGCGGCAGCTGGCTACATTACACCGAACGACGTGTTACACCTAACCCTTGAACATCTAACTCTAAACATTGTTTAAAGCTATCTAATGAGTAATAATAATGCCCCTACTGTACTTGGTGACAACGAGTTCCACTCTGCAATAGTTCTAGGAAAGAATGAATTTTTGAACACCTCTATCCTTGGTTGATAACTCTGGTACTTGAAGGCATGACTATTTCTTGTTCTTTATTCTGAGCTGGTATTAGGTACTTAGTAGTTGGTACGTCCACCAGTTTATTAGTCATCTTGTACATGGATAGTCTGGACATTTTTCGTCTGTCTTCCAATGACACCCACTGTAGGTTTCTTTTCATTTCCGTAAAATCAGCACCCCTTTCAAAGTTGTTCATGCATAATCTTACTGCTTGATTTTGTACCCTTTCCACTTTATCTTTGTCTTTCTTTTTAGACATGACTCAATGACTCCGGAAAGAATATTAAACGATAACTGTTACTGCCTGTGACAAAATTATAAAACAACACTAAGATACAGATAATGATACAATAGAGTATATATAGAAAGAGTGAAATTCTTACTCCAAACGCAAACGTATTCCGTAATCTCTCTACTCTACTACATGACCTGCCAATCCGGTTTACACCAGTACAGACCGGATAGGCAGGTTTCCCGGACGATGTACCCATATTGATGTCGACAAATAGGCCCATGGTTTACCGGATGTAGCTGGCTACAATTGCCAGCTCACGGCACTTTGCGTAAGGAATATCATGTTTGTGGTTGTTTCTTTGATGCGAATCATATTACACGGGGTCTTTCCTTGGTTCTGAAATCACATGTGCAACAACACCAGTGCGTTCATACGTTATATACAGTAGTTCTGATCT